GCCCTTGCGGCGATGGTGGGGGCGCTTCTTGAGCGATCGCGCCTCGCCGAGCTCGGTCTCGGTGTTGGCTTCCGAGTCGTCGGCGTTGTGCTCTTCGGGGATCATCTCGATGTTGGTGTTGGTGGAGCGGGCGTCGTCGGCGAGGCCGCGTCTGTCGGAGGAAGCCGTGTCGACGGATGCGGATCGGGAGGCGACGGTGGCGCGACTCAACCTGCCGGCTGGAGTGCCCGAGACACGCGAGGAGTCGTCTGCCGAGTCGAGGTCGAGGTCGTCTTCTGTGGGAGCGCCGTCCTCTTCGAGGTCGGACTGGGCTGGGGCAACGCCGACGTTGGTGTTGCGGGGAGCGACGGAGGACTTGACGTGCTGTGCCAAGTCGCTGCGAACCTTGCGCACGCGGCGCTCTACGCGGACGCTCTGGAAATCGTCGTTCCCGACGCGAAGGAAGCGCTTCCAAGCCTTGTGGTCTCTGAGCTGAGCATGGTTGGCGAGAGCGGTGAAGTAGGTGGCGAGCTGAGTGGTGGTGGAATGCGACGCAAGTTTGGCCATCTCGGCGGGCTGGGGCGAGAGGGGAGCCGAGGGCGGAGGCGATGCTGCGTCGGTTCTGAGGGCCTCGGCAGCGGGGGAAGCGGGCGAGGCTGGCTCTGGGGCGAAGGTGGCAAAGGTGGCGCGAGACTTGGAAGCGCCGGGGGAGAGAGTGCGAGAGATGGTCTGGAAGAACTTGCGACCGCTGAGCTGGGGCACGGATACGGGCAGGACGGGCAAGGGAGGGAGATTGGTGGGCGAGATGTCTTGGGAGATCTTTGCGTCCAAGTCGGTGATGTCGTTGGCGGAGCGAATGAGGGTGAGGTTGTGGGTGGGTGTGGTGACGTAGAGGGTGAAGGAGGCGACGAGCTGTTTGCGCTTGCGGCCTTCGCGCTTGTCCTTTGCCTCTGCGACGCTGATGCTCCAGGGCCCGTCTAGAGACCTGGCGAGGGAGGAGGGAGGGATGGCGTCTGCGATTCTGGAGTCGAGCTCGGCGCCGGGGATGCGGGGGCTGGCGTTGGTTGAGCCCGGATTGCCATCTTCGTCAAAGAGGCCGCGGATGCTGGTGCGGTTGCTGCCCGAGTTGGGTGATCCGGCGTGATTAGAGCTGCGGGTGGAAAGCTCTCTGAGTCCTGCAAAGGTGCTGAACTTCTTGTGGGCGGAAACGGGCGAGGCGGCGCGGGCGGGCGGCGCGGCTGGAGCCACCGAGGTGGGCATGATGATGAGGCGTTGCGAGGGCTGCGATGACGTAGCGATAGGGAGGGCTCGCGGCGGGATCCTGTCCAGGCGAGTATTAGATGGAGTTTGGAAGCATCTACCTTGCGAGAGAGCTGCAGCCAGAGAAGGTGGGGTTGGTGTGCGGCGAGAAGAGCGACAGGCAGCCGAAGTGCGCTGGTGAAGATGAACACGTCAGAGCGCGCGAGATGAAAGTCGTCGGCAATAAAGCAGAAGAAGAGGAGCCGAGGGAAGCAGCCGATGGACGGGGAAGATGCAAGGCGAGAGGGCGAGCGCGCAGCTATTGGGAGGGATGGATGCTGCGACAAAGGTGGTGGCGAGGCGGTGTGGATGATGATGGTGCAGAATCGAGGATGGGAAGCGGGGACCGGTGGATGAATACACTGAGGATGTTGAGGATGATGAGGATGATGATGGGAACGAGCTGAGCTCTGAGCTGAAGTGAGGTGAGGTGAGGTTGGGTGGGGTGGGGTG